AAGGACCATCGACCAAGAAAAATAAAAAAAATAATGTATGATGCTACTGAAAATGATGGTAAATGCTTTTACTTATTTTTGATTTCATTTACTTTAATTAACTAATTTATGTTCTAATAATAATATACTCTATATTTGTCAAACCAATTTCATATTACACTGATAAGATATGAATAATTCTATATTTTTATCAACGTTTATTTTCTTGCTTGAAGCTAACTTTTATTTATCATCAATAATATATAGTGATATTAAATAATTTGGAGTAAAATAGTTGCTAATAAAAACGAAGAAAAATTGCAGACTATCTAAAAAAATTTTAAATCCTTAGTTATGCTTATTGCTTTTGTTACATATAAGTTTTGAATAAACTACAAACTCGGAAGCAGATAGTATTTAGTAATTAAAAGTTAGAGCAGTTTGTATTAATAAATGCATTATCCATTAATTAATATTTTCCTTCTAAATAAATTTACTAATTCAACCAAAATAATATAATCTCGCTCAATAAAGCTGTGTTCAATGTTCTTAATTATTATAAGTGTTTATCTGTAAATAATAATTACTATAAGTACGTATTTTCCTCTATGATTATTTACCGCTTTACTATTTTTATAGATATTGAGGTATTACAGGTATTGACAGGTGAGGTGTCAATAAATGCTAAAAAAATTTTTTTGCAAACTAACAATTTTAACATAAAAATTATGAATAATAATAAAATGCTATACTAAGTTATGTGTTTAGCTAACTTTAATGATTTTTAAAAAATAAAAAAAATTTCATATTAAAAAATTCCAAATTTTAAATTAATTTTGTAAGAACAAAGTAAAGAAAATGAATGTTGTATTGCTAATTTATCACATCACGCTAATCCTTTTAATGTAATAATGTAAACTTTAATTGAAAATTCCATTTATTTCCAAGTCTTGTTTAAAAAAAATTTTTTAAATAAAATGGCAAAATCTACTTTAAATTTAAATATCTTTTTATATTTATGTTGTTTAAAAAAAAACTGTTTTAAGTTTAAACAGTGTTCAGGTGTGAGAAAAAGTTGATTGTGCATACATTTATAATTAAATTGTCTGCATTTTTGCCAATATAATTTTAACATAGAACCTTAGTAGAACAAGTTTTTTAAGGCATGCCTTAAAGTTTTGAAATGCAAGAAGAAAGCAAATTCATCTTGATCTATTTTTGCCAAGCATAGACTTTCTTTCCTTTCATTCTTTCTTTCTTTCTTTTTTTTTAGTTTTTGCTTTTACAGTTACAGTTTGAATGATGACTAATTTTGAAAGGTTTCAATTTGAAGCCATGTCTTAAAATTCGAAAAGAAAACTTTTTCAGTAAGAAAGGAATTATGGCAATTTATATGTAGGCACAAAATTTTTTTTGTGTATTATGAAGTCATCTAATACGAATACTCGAAATTTGCAAAATATCTATCTGAAAACCGTGCTAAAGAATGGTTTGGTATAAAAATATAGCCTTTGAGAAAAGTATGACTTATCACTATATTGTCCCAAGCTCTTTATTTGTAAGTCACACATATTTTATTGTATTTTTTTCATTAAATATCATCTTTGCTTTGAATTGGGATGTTCACTGTAATTCTGGAATAAATTTGTCTCTTACTTGTTTTTGACCTTGTACATTGCATTATTTGAGTGCATTTAAGTGTACATATTTTTACTTTCTGTTAATTTAGTTGACTACAATAAATTTTTAAGACTACATAACAGTTGTCACTTAAAAATCGTAGTTCGTTCTGTGATCTCCGTGTTTCAAGATTTTACTTCCTTATTTTAGGAATGCTTGCTACATGCAGACATCGTCAAGTCAAAAGAGAGCAACATACGTATCGCACACTTTCTATTAATAAAGTTTATTTATTGACTCAATTATAAACGTATTATTGCTTCATACAACAATATTTTTTATACAGTGGCGTCTCTGACTTTAATATGATTCTAGTAACAACAGCAATAAAAGTTGTGTTATTTATATTTTATTTATCAATGTCAATTATTATTAATATTAGTATCTATCTATCTATCTATATATATATATAAATTGTTTATTGTTTAGATTTTGATAGAGAAGAAATTGCTACTTATGAAGAAGTGGCTCGATTAAACCCTAGGCCAGGTTTACACCGTCCCATAATTTTAATAGGTTTGTATTATTTTTTAATATGAGTGATAATTTTTAACTTTTTCCAATTTTTATTATCTTTATAAATTTTATAATATTTAACTGCTCATTAGGACTCAGTAAACATTAACTCTTAGACATGCTTTCGATGATTTTAGAGTAATAATAACAAAAAAATTTTGTTTGATGAAGATAAAATACTTAAAATATTTGTTGATTAATTAAATACACTGAAAAATCATCTTAGAAGAAGACCGGTATAGTGCGACTTTGAGGAGAACTCCTCCAGACTAAAAGTCTGGGGCTGTCTACTACTATGGTAACAAGTGAGAGCACATCTCTAATGAGGGTGAAATGGAGGAAAGAATGTGTCGATTGGTTTACTCACGTCGACCTATGCCAAGATTAAGACAAAACTATTCCCCCCCTATTCAAAGTGACTTTTCCTCGTAACCATAGTACCCGCCATGACAATCAGCGGGTGTCTGGAGGAGTTCTCCTGAAAGCCGCACTATACTTAACCCTTTGGTGTTTTTTTGTCTTGGTAAATTTCTGAGAATTTTCTCCTTTCTATACTGCTTTTCTACATGAGAAAGTGTAAAAAAAAGTGTTTGTAGAAGTGTGAGGAGGGGAATTTTACCATTCTGGTTGAATATGTAGGTACTCATGTATGTAAGGGTAAAAAGTTTATGCATGATCGGAATTTTCACTTGCCCGAGCATGTTGGACAATGTGAATTTTAAATGCTTGATATCTTCTAGAAAGTTATTGCATCTGGCAGATTTCAATGAATTCCTTTTACTTTTAAGGTCCACCTGGAGTAGGAAGAAATGAACTCAAGAGAAGATTAATTGCGTCTGATCCTGATCATTTTAGACAAACTATACCGCGTAAGAAAGCTTGTCTTACTATTTTACTTAGATTATGATTTTTGAAAATAAAAAAAATCTTTAGGTATCTTACAAAACTGTAGTTATCTTTTTATGATATGAAACTTGTTTAATACATATTTAATACACATGAGTTGACCAAATTATTCTATTCAAAAAGTATTTTATTTATTATATTCAAAATTGTTTCTATAGTTAACCTTCTTTGTGTGACTTGAGCTTCTACTTTGTATACACTATGAAGATAGTCAATGGATATAAATCTTTTTTTCTGCGAATCTAACCTCATTGCAATTTTATTATATTTAATATAGTTAAAAATATAAAATATTCGTGCATAATCCCAAATACTCCATTAATCTGATCAAATATGATAAAATTTGATAAGATAAAACAAACAGAAATGTTGCCAATGGATCGAATGGAAAAATTTGGAGAAAAAAAAATATGAAAGATCATGGATTCATGGATCGCCTCAGTGCATGGAAAGTATTCGATCCTTATTAAAAATTTTCTTATTTTTTATCATTTGTTTATCTACTGGGAACATTATCTCTTGTTTTATCTTTGTATGTGTTACTAAATTTATGTGACAATCATATATTTGTTATAATAATAAGTACATTCACATATTTTAAACATTTCAAGTGCATTTCATTATTTTTATGAGACTTTAAAAGTTTTTTTATTTTGAATTGGTTTAGATCATAAATAAATTTTTTGTATCATTAATCATCCTAGCGATCTTGCAAACTTTTTAATGACCTTGCGGTGAATGTGCAATGAGTCTAAAAGCAGATTTTTAGTACAGTTGCAAAAATCGAAACTTTTAAAAATATGCAAAAAATTCTGTTAATAAAAGCATGTTTTTTTTGTTGCATAATTTTAAATACAACAACTGTAAGAATTAAAATGTGGCACTTATTGTAATTAAAAATATTTTAATTATCAGTAAACATATTTAACATTTTATCATTTATTAAATTTCTTATTGCATACCATTCCTATATCATAAAATATATTTTAAGAAAGTATTTCTGT